TTTTTAAGAATTAAGTTAATCAGTTGCTGTACATGTATCTACAACCGGCCTTTGGGAAACGCGCTTCCCTCCTGCCTTTTTATGAGGCACCGCATGAAATTTATTGCTACTGAGCTACCACTAAACCTGGAAGAGGGCACATCCTCTCTGGATGTAGGCAACACTACTAAACTGCCCAGAGGAGCTCCAAGGTGAGCTTCAGTGCCTGTGGCTGCTGGCAACTCCAGTGAACGGAGACCTTCTTTTCCTCAAGAGAGGCCCAACCTCTTGCCAACTTTCAGAATATCTTTGTTTCAAACACACTAACAGCATTGTCTGAGCTAACTCTGACTTCTCTGGTGAATAAGAAGCAAAGGTTCATTGACTACGGTGATGGGAGAACTAATGCTGTTGGGATGGGGAGACAGAGAAGCCTACTATGAGAAGCCTACTGTGATACTCTGAGGGCGTGTGATCTCTATCACAAGATCCACACTGCCCAAGTCAACTGACAGGACACCACTGTGGGGAAAATACAGAGAGAACTCCAGTAGGAAGTTCTGAAGGTATCAGAAGAGTTGTAACAGGAGGAGCAGAAGGTACAAGTGTGGTGGGATCTCTCCAGGCCAGAGGGCTGAGCCATAAAGATGATCAGAGTAAGAACCTCCAGTCTATCTGGAACCACAGATTTGGTTCCACAGATCTAAGATGGAACCAAGGCAGATCTACCCACTGTTCCTCGTAATTCTGGGTATTAACAGGTAACCAGGAATCCATGTGGGTGGAACATGAGGACAAGGAACCGGAATGTGAGGCACACATTTGTAAGATGCTTGCAGGAGAGTCAGGGGTTAAAGCTGGACTCACCAGGTCTTTTCCACACTTTTCTGGTGGTTCACTGGAAACAATTGTAGAGGCCCATGAGGCAGAGTTTCAATAATAAGTATTAATGGGGAAGGGATGGCAGCTGAGCAAAACATCACCTTTCTGCAGGACTTGCTTACAGCAGCATTAAGAGAAGGCAAAGCCAATGGTGCTTCCTACAGCACGTGACAGGTTAGCAGCTCCATGTGGTAGGCAAAGATCTGCATAACTCCTCATAAGACAGGAGTTTCACTTTATTTTGCTGGAGAAAAGGTATGTATTTCCTAGACTTGCCAGACTGCTGAAAAGTGCTATGTCCTTTATTATCATGTCGCCTGTAAATTGTCCCCACCCACTACAACAATTAAGAGCAACCCTTCCACTCCAGAGGAGCAGCACAAAGTTTCCCAAAAGCCCAAGCTGTTACAACTCAAAGGAAGTGTTACCAGGGCCTCAGACAACTGAAGAGCGTGGCTGACGTGAAGCTCTTCCTCAGCTCCAGCTGAGGATGAACTCAGCAATGAGGTGAGAAGAGTCTCTTGTAGAAAGGCAATGGTTTCTTTCCAACTCAAGATAAGGAGCACTAGAATTTTGAGGGATGCACTCTTTAATCCTGATGTGTAATGACGGCATTTAAGAATAAGTAAAACGAACACAAAGTTCATTACAAGCATTGCAGGTTTGGAACAACCTCATTTTAGGCTGCAGAACAGTTTCCTTTCTCAAATAATCAGCTATCAATACAGATCTGGGAATATTCCAGCTGTTGACACTAGCCTGGGGCCCTGGGCCACTTTCCAGGTGTTTTCAGACACACATTGGGCAAACAAGCTCTTTCTCAGACCATGCTTGTTAGTTAAACTGTTTTTCCTCTGCACCCTCTGCTTCCATTTTCTTTCCCTCCTCTATCCCCCTTTTTTTTTCTACGTAGATAACATTCAACTCGTATTTCTTTCTTTGTATCTGATATTGCACAAGGGCAAAGCCTCTCCACCTTTGTTAAACAAGACTATTTCCTTTGGTGGGTTGGCCACCTGGAACACCCGACGCAAAGCTCTGTGAGCAGGAGCTAATGTAGTTTCTGGCAGGACAGTCTCCTCCTTGGCACATCCTTTACCTGGATGGTGGTGCTGAGCTAAAAGGCAGGATGAGAAGCATTCTTGAGCAACCAGAGCTCCACTGTCATGTGGAGTGCAGGCTTGAATCCAATGACTGAAAAAAAAATATACAAAACCCGGAATGTGTAAACAGTGAGTTTGCAAAAAAAAAAAAAAGGTGGAAATCAGAATTAAAGTCTTTTAAGTACAGCCTTCTGAAAGGGTGTCTCAGTGCAAGACCAGCTCTATGGAACTTTGCCACTCTTTTACCCAGTGACTCCACCATATGTTTAACAGAAGACTTTATGTAACATAATAGTAATAACATAATATTTATGAGCCTAAATGCATCCTCAGTAACTGCACCACAGCTGGTCTTAGCAATGCTACTCAACTTACTCGGTGTGAGCAGATTGTGGGGGGCCATGGCCTTTTTTTTCCAGTAATTACTGCCAACGTCAGACATGTTAATGAGTGCCATTACTATGTCCAGTAAGAGTGGACACCTTCCACCAGTGGGAAGGGCAGCTTCCAGTTCTGTGCCTGCTCACACATACCTGTGGCGTGGGCTCAGGTTCCACTGTCAGTATTTGTGTCTCTGCACTTCCAAAGTTTATTCGTGATCACAACTGTCTGTTGCAAAAGGGAAAAGATGCTTTTGCTCTGTTTCCATCTAAAATGAAATAGGAAAATTAAATCACACACGGATGGAAACTTAGGGCTTTTCTTCGGCCATAATGCTAAGAAATCTGGGTATCTGTATGATAAATCACATCCTGGCTGGTCTCAGCAGCAGAGCTGTACATTTCACAGAGCAGCACAAGCAGGGGCAGCCTGGTCAACGCTTTTGTTTGTTGTAAAAAAAAGGACAACTTACTTTGAAACGAAGGTCTGAAATCAGAAAAAGATATTAACACTGGGCCTGCATTTTGTTAGAAAACAGTTAAGTTTGTACTTGGGAATTAGAATTATAGAAGAAACACAAGTCCAAGCCCAGAAGAGAGACACAAAGGAGGAGCAGATCGCTTTCAGTGACGGGTATCGCAGGGGCTCAGCAGGACCAGAACAAACAGCTTTTTTTTTTTGCACTCAGACCCAAAGGCTTATCAAAAAGTCGCCGTATTTTGCGCAAAGGTGTCAAAGTAGAAAGGTGAACTCTCAGCCTTAACTAAATGTCAGGCTGCAGTGAGTAAGGAAAGGACAAACACAAACTCACAAACGCTGGGTTTGTCCTTTGTGCGGCGAGAGCCTGGCAGAGCTCCAGCCCTGGAGAAGCGCCAGACCAGCGCGCCAGCGCCTTTGAACTTTCAAAGCTCGTGTTTTCCCTTCACTGTTTAACGTCCTAACTAACTTAAATTCAGTGTAGGAGTTCTGTTTATTTCAGGAATAAACGTAAGTAGCCTGAGTTTCAACATTCCGTAACTACCCCGGTCGGGCAAAGCCTGGAAAGCTTTGGGCAGCGGGCTAAGGGTGAGGTTTCCAGAGGAGCCCCGTGCCCTCGGTGGCCGTGTTGCTGCCGGGATGTTGCTCAACAGCCACGTTCCTGCGTGCGTGGTGCTTTGAGGCTCTCTACCTACGGAGCTTTTACTTGCTGGGGCCCAGGGCACCTCAGCTCTGACAGAACCCGCCATGGACCAGCCATGTTCTTCCCCCGACACCACGGGCCGTGGGTCACACAGTGCTGCCGTGGGGCAGAAACAGGCTGGATTCAAAGGACAACCCCCAAACTGTTAGTGCACTCTCTTGTGCAACTTCTGCGGGTCAGCCACAGACTGGCAGGGGGTGCAATGGACCTTTGCAGGTCATCCAGTCCAACCCCTCTGACCAGAGCAGGGTCACCCAGAGAAGGTTGGAAAGGATCATGTCCAGGTGGGGTTTGAATGTCTCCAGAGAAGGAGACTCCACACCCTCTCTGGCAGCCTCTTCCAGGGCTCTGCCACCCTCACAGGAAAGAAGTTTTTCCTCGTTTTTTTTTTCTTTTGGAATTTCCCCTGTTCCAGCTCGTGCCTGTTGCCCCTTGTCCTGTCACCGGGCTGCACTGAGACGAGTCTGGCCCTACCCTCTTGCCACCCATTGAGCTATTGCTCAGCATCGACGCGATCCCCTCTCAGCCTGCTCCCCTCAGGTCCCTCAGCCTTCCCTCAGCAGGGAGCTGCTCCAGTCCTTCATCATCCTCGTAGCCCAGACCTGGTCCCAGTGCTCCAGCTGCGGCCTCCCCAGGCCCGAGCAGAGGGGAGGATGGCCTCCCTCGCCCTGCCGGCCACGCTCTTTTTAATGTCCCTCAGAAGACCGTGGGCCTCCTTGGCCCCAGGGCCCGGCCCTGCCTCAGGGACAGCCCCTGCCCCACCAGCCCCGGCCGCCCCGAGGTGCCCGCGCCCCCTCGCGCCGCGGTGACCCCGCCCTCCGCCACGCGCCGGCCCTTCACCCGCCCCAACCCCCTCGTCTGATGCAACTCGCTTCCCCCCTTGCTTCCAGCCGCGGAGCCAATCAGCGGCGAGTGTTGCCGTAGCGTCACGCCGCCCCGGCCAATGAGGAAGAGCCACGATCGGTAGAAAGCCGGGCGGGGCGGGCGGGGGGCCCAGTCGGCCGCAGCCGTAGCGCCGGGCAGCGTCTCCGCTCCGCTCCCCTCCGCGCCCGCCATGGCAGCGCTGCCCGGGGCCGCGGCCCCGCGCCTGCTCCTCATCCCCGGCAAAGCGGCCGAACCCGCCGCCGGCGCCAGCCGCCACCTCAGCGTTGTCCTGCCAGCAGGAGCCGGCTCCCCGGGCCGACCGTGGGCCTCCTTGGCCCCAGGGCCCGGCCCTGCCTCAGGGACAGCCCCTGCCCCACCAGCCCCGGCCGCCCCGAGGTGCCCGCGCCCCCTCGCGCCGCGGTGACCCCGCCCTCCGCCACGCGCCGGCCCTTCACCCGCCCCAACCCCCTCGTCTGATGCAACTCGCTTCCCCCCTTGCTTCCAGCCGCGGAGCCAATCAGCGGCGAGTGTTGCCGTAGCGTCACGCCGCCCCGGCCAATGAGGAAGAGCCACGATCGGTAGAAAGCCGGGCGGGGCGGGCGGGGGGCCCAGTCGGCCGCAGCCGTAGCGCCGGGCAGCGTCTCCGCTCCGCTCCCCTCCGCGCCCGCCATGGCAGCGCTGCCCGGGGCCGCGGCCCCGCGCCTGCTCCTCATCCCCGGCAAAGCGGCCGAACCCGCCGCCGGCGCCAGCCGCCACCTCAGCGTTGTCCTGCCAGCAGGAGCCGGCTCCCCGGGCCTGGAGGCCCCGCAGCCGGCCCGCAAGCGGCAGCGGCTCACCCACCTCAGCCCGGAGGAGAAGGCGCTGCGCAGGTGAGTGGGGCCCGGCGGCGGGGTGGAGGGAAGGGACACACTCTCACACACACACACACACACACACCGCCCTGCCGGCCTCCCTGCCTCGCAGGAAACTGAAGAACCGTGTGGCGGCCCAGAGCGCCCGCGACAGGAAGAAGGCGCGGATGGTGGAGCTGGAGCAGCAGGTGGTGGAGCTGGAGGAGGAGGTAAGGGGCTGGGGGGAGCCGGGGAAGGGGGGGCGGCCGGCGCCGCGGCCTTCCCTCCCTGCCTCACGGCTCTCCTCAGAACCAGAAGCTGCTGCTGGAGAACCGGCTCCTGCGGGAAAAGACGTGTAACCTCGCCCTGGAGAACCAGGAGCTTCGCTGCCGCCTGGGTTTGGATGCTCTCAAGACCGAGGAGGAGAGCGAGCCCCAGGTGAGCCGGCGTCTGCGCTGTCGCCATTGTTCTGCTGAGAAAGTGGCTGCGTGGCCAAAGTCACCTGCCAAGAGGTGACAGAGGGCGGGAGGAGGGACACCCCCAGCCAGGGCTGGAACGGCCCTGCCCCGAAGAGGGACGCTGTGTGGGCCAGGAACACGCTTGTCCTCCAAATGGAGGCTTTCCCACAGACTGCTCGGACACTGAGCCCAAAGTGGGTGCCCCTGGTGGTGTGGGAGGTGGCGAGCTGACTAGTTCCAAGCTGTTTAAGGGTTATTTCATCTGCTCTTCTACACTGTGTTCCGGAAATGAAGTAATAACTGTTAATCACATGTCCCTGTCTTGAGGGGCGGCTCAGGCTCTCATTTATAAGTGGTGAGCAAAACAAATCTGCGAATGTATAGAAGTTTGGGCCAACTTTGGAAGTGGCCTTATAGTCAGGTTCCCCCTGCATAAGCAAGTGGAGAATCTGATGTTGGGAACCTCTGCAGGAAGAGGGTGATTATCAGGGTTGTGTACTGGCTGCTGAAACACTTCTGGTGACTGACTGGTTTTTTTTTCCTCGGTGCAGGCTGTGAAGGAATTGCAGGTGGATGAGATTAGATTGGTGACCGGGTCCGCTGAGTCCGCAGCACTCAGACTACGTGTTCCTCTGCAGCAGGTGCAGGCCCAGCCGTCGCCAGTTCTGATAGCTTCCACATGGATTCTGATGGCAGTGATTCTTCAGACTCAGAGGTGAGTGTCCACCCCCATCCAAAAATGCCTGTGACATTCAGAACCACTACAGATTTAAGATCGGTGTTGTAACTTCTTGATGGAAAGTCCCTCTCTGAGTTTCCATATGGCTTGTTTTCCAAGTCATGGCGTGCCGTACCTGTGGCTCAGAGCAGCTGTGTTGGGCTGTATCCAGTGAGTACAGGAGTTTGTGCAACTTGTTCAAGTCCAGTTTCCATACAATCGGAGAGGATATTGCCTGAAAGGGTCTCTTAGCTCTTACAGCCAAGTTGTACAAATAGTAAAAGCATTTTGTGCTACTGTTGTTGTTGAAAACAAACTTGATCATTTGGCTGGTGTGCTGGCACATAGCAAAGCTTTTTGAACTTAAAGCCTGTTGCTTATTAGTGACACAGAATCTCTGAAAGATAAGTAACTGCTGTAACTGTCTGTCTTGATAATGGTGGTCTTGATAGTCCTAGCTCTGTGATCACATCAGCATATTTTAATTTCCAGATGAGGGTTAGTAGAAGCTACAACTGATGTTTTTCCGTAGGAGTACTGGGCTGTTCCTCTAAAATAGTGTTTTGTTCTGCAGTCTGATCTCCTGCTGGGCTTTCTGGACAGTCTGGACCCAGAAATGTTTCTCAAATACACTGATCCAGAGTCAACGTGCCTGGAGAAGCTGGAGGAAGACATCTGTGGAGAAACAAATTCCATACCAGCCTCCTCCTCTCCCTCTCTGGGGTCCTCATCAGCTAAGCTGGAGGCCATTAATGAACTCATACGGTTTGATCACGTGTACACAAAGCCCCTGATACTGGAAATTCCTGTGAAGATGGGCGACCAAACCAATACCAATATGTTAGTGAAAATTGAGGAAGTATCTCTCTCTCCATCAGAAGACAAAGCCACCCCTGAGGTCCCAGTGTCTGTGAAGGAGGAACCTGTAGACAGCTTCATGCCTGAACTGGGCATCTCCCATCTGCTCTCCTCTCCCGGCAGCCTTGCAGCCTCGAGCTATCTGGATGCCTGTAGTGACTCTGGGTACGAAGGATCCCCGTCACCCTTCAGTGACATGTCCTCCCCGCTTGACGCTGACCACGCCTGGGAGGACAGCTTTGCCAATGAACTCTTTCCCCAGCTCATCAGTGTCTAACCCAGTAGTGTTAGCTCCCCAGGGACGACTGTCCTGGCCGGATAACAGGATATACCCCTGTGGGGGGTGCGTGGGGTGGGAAATCAAGTGTATTCAAAAAAGTGTTGCTCATTTCAACCCCTGCTTGTAGATGGAGTGATGGCCAATGCCTTCCTCCTGGTAGGAAAAAGCCCAGGGTGTCCTGTCCTCCCCATGCACCCCCCTGTCAGTGTTGGCTTATGAGGGAGGAAAAGTTGTTTCACAATAATTTGTTTTTCTACATGAACCTGAAAATGTTTTGTTTTCCATTTAAAAGAATTTTAACACTGAAACCCTGCAGTGGGATATTCCCCTATAAACAACTGGGTTAAAACTAAGCAGTCTGAGAGTCCTACAGATTCCTGTGTGAATGCTTGTTTTTCCATTTGCTATGTAGAGTTGCTTTCTGCATTTAATATTTAACTGTATCGGTGCAATTAAAGTGCAATGCAGCTCAGTGACCCTTTGTTACCTTGGATCTCAGTGGGGAGAGTATCAGGACTTTGAGGAATTTGAAATTGTAGGAGTTTGAAGAGATGAGGTCTCCTGTTGTCTCACCCCAGTCTGGCACTGCTGCCCTGGTGGATGTAGTTGGGTGCTCAGGCAGTTTCTGGGAGCACTTGATGTTGCAGGCTCCAAAGGCAAATGGGTTTATATGATGGTCAGAGCAAAATCTGCAGCTTCCTTTCTGAATAAAATGGATGTGATACCTAAATTGTAGGAGTTTGAAGAGATGAGGTCTCCTGTTGTCTCACCCCAGTCTGGCAGTGCTGCCCTGGTGGATGTAGTTGGGTGCTCAGGCAGTTTCTGGGAGCACTTGATGTTGCAGGCTCCAAAGGCAAATGGGTTTATATGATGGTCAGAGCAAAATCTGCAGCTTCCTTTCTGAATAAAATGGATGTGATACCTTCCTCTTGGCCAGTGGTGCCATTCACAGCACTCAGCTCAGTCTGAGGGTGTTTCTTCCTCTTGGCCAGTGGTGCCATTCACAGCGCTCAGTCCAAGGGTGTTCGTGGGACATACCCGGGGTGGAAAAGGGAGGATTCTGTGTTGCCACAGGAATTCCTGAAGCATGACATTAACTTTGCAGGAGCTGATTTCAAATATCACAGTAGGAATCTCTCTTCCTCATCCATCGTGGTATTAAAAGCACTTGAATTGGAGTGACCGATAAGAAACTGAAACTTTATTCTGAAAGTGGGAGAGCTGCTCCAGGTGTTTGCACAACTGTTCTTGGTTTAAGTGCTACTTTGTGTTTTGCATTAAATTTTGACAAAAATAACGAGGCAGGGAGGGGTGCAAATGGGGGGGCAGGACAAGAGGGTGTGCTGGTCACTAAGGAGGTGACAGGACAGCTCTGCACTGCAAACCCCAGTAACGCATTGTCTGGATAGTGAACAGCGCTAACACTACAGCTCTGCACGTAACAAGACTTTGATCTGAGAATAATTTACTTTCAAGCTGGAAAACTGGGAAGGCTGCAAGAAGACCTTTAGTATCTCGAAGATGTTGTGAGTCCAAAAAGGCAATGGGCAAGTGAGAATTTGATCCATAGTTCTGCATCACTTCTGTTAGTATTATTGGAACCTAATATGAAATTTGAAAAAAGCATTCAAGTACAGCAGAAATAATATAAGGAAAGGAAGAAGTTTCATTTCTTTAGAATTCACCTCTATGTTTTCTAGTCTAGAAGTTGAAGACACAGCTTAGGGGAAGAAGTATGTGGTAGTTGAAAGTAGCACCTGCAGAAGGGCTGATATTTCAGGCTGTACTGGCAGCAGGGCCCCAGCCCCTGCGGTTCCCAGGTCTGTTACATCTGCATTTCATTAAATAAACCTTCTGTGATGGAAGCCAGGCATCTGCTGGAGCAAACCGACAGAGACATGGGCTCAGGAACAATCACCATTCCAGCTCCAAGTCCCAATTCTGTCCCTCCCCAGGGCTGGCTCTGTAAGGGACAGACCAGACTCCCATCCCCAAGCTTTGCACATCCCTAACGGAGCTGGGGAGAAGTATTGAACACTTGTCTAAATCCACAGTACAATTTAGGCGAGTCAAGGTTTGACTCGGCCTAGAAGCCTTGGGGGTTTTTGTTATTACTACTTTTTAATATAAATCTGAAGTGCTGTTTTTCCTTCCTTTTCAAAGCAAAGGCAACACTAATGCAGCACAGCCAGCTTTATGGCTGCTCGAAAAACCCTTTGACAGAAGGTGTTAAACAGAAGAGCAGTGCTACATTCCAATAAAATAATTATTAAAGTTTCAAACACTTCTTGGTTTCACACAGGACAGAGCAAGCCAGGCATTCTTTATTTTCCTCTGAAGTAAAATAAAAGACCTGAAACACAAGTTGCAGCAACACCTTCTGGCTTTGTTAGAGGCCTTTGGGTCGTGACAAATTTACAGCAACTCCTCAGGTTCACTCTGCCCTGCTCTTGTCCTCATCGTGGAAGAAAGAAGTGAGGTGCCCTTGGGATTAAGTAGTTAAATTACAAAGCTTCTTAGTTCAGAAATTACCCTCTAGCTGAAGGACTGGACACACACTTCCAAGATATTCACTGGTATGAGGAATGAAACACAGTCATCTAAAAAATATTTTAGAAAATTTATTGAAAACTGACATACAAAGGGTGATTTGGTCCCAAGAGAAGACAGACCAGAATCAGATATTTCAAAATAAAGTTTTTCCTAATACTGCATCACATTTGCCATCCCGCTTGCAAACAGCATTAATAAAAGTCTTTTAAGGAAGCCAACGACAAATGAAACTCTTACAAAGACAGAAGTTTGAAAACACCCAGTAACAACTTCTCCTTTACCCTCTCTCCAAACGATCCCTGCAGCAAGAATCCTGCTCAGTGCTCCCACATACTCCATTTCTGCTATACCCCACCCTTCTCCCCACCCCCCAGGGCAGAAACAAATTATGAAAAAATTAAAATAGATCTTTTTCTACCAAAGCAAATTTCTTGGACACAGTTTTTTCCCCATCTCTTGGTCTGTGTCAACAGTCCAGCACTCGCGTTCCAGACAGCAGAGTAACAGGGATCAGCGATGCTGCGTTAGCATCAAACAACAAAGAGGAAACACACCTCTGAAAGTCAACCTTTGGTACAAATATAACAGGCAAAAAGTGTGCTTAAAGGCCATCTACAAAAATTCCTTCTTCTGCAAATTTGATTTGCTATTTGTCATTTTTAAGAGGAAAAAACTTGCAGCTAGATTTGAGGGATTTAGGCCTCCCACAGTCTTCTCCGTCCTCTGTCGCAATTTCAGCGTTGCTGATGGTTTCATCAAGTTTCTGAATGGTTTTATCCTTTCTTTGCAGTTTATTTAGGATTCAGAGCTATCGGATAAAACAGTTTCAACCTTGAACTTCCACTGTAATGCTGCAAGCTTAAAAAACAGGTAACTTTGGAGGGACATTTCCTACCCACAGTGACTACAGCTGTCTCCAAACGGCGTTGCTTTGCTTTACACTCAAGCATCACAGCGTGTCAAAGGCTGTCGATTTTAAGCAGGTTCAGCAGCTTAGTAATACATGAGAAATTTCATACAGTGCATGCAAAAGATTTCTAGCAGAGCCCAAAGTGAAATTCGACATCGTAGCAAGATAAAGCTGAGCAAAGTTCTCCAATTCAATAAAAGTTCCAGAATGGTGAACTGGTTTCCAGAGTAATACCTATTCCAATGTTGGAAATGTTTTTAGTGAAGCTCTGAAATGTTTTAGCAAAAGACAGCGAATTTCACACGATCTTCGACGAGAGCAGCAAGATAGACAGGATTTAACAGGGGCATTTTCTGAGCAAAGCTTCTGCTGTCAGCCAAAAGAAAAGAAAGGATGACTGCAAAGAGAGAAGCCTGATTTAAAACTATCGACTATGGGTTATTCGGGGTTAAAAAAAATATCAGCACAAAGATTATCCATTAGCTGTGCAAAGGAAGAGTAGATTTTCTTACGCCAACAGCTGCATTACTCTGTGCTTGCTCCTTTACATCAGCAAGATGTCAAAAACAGCTCGGGATGCCAAGAGTCGGAACAGAACCTGTTACTTGGAAAGGAATTTCTTCCAAAAAGCCTCAATTCAGCTATTTCTGAGAAAGTTCAAGGACCCAAAACAGATGATGAGATTCTCTGCCTTGTTTAAGGGTTTAAAGCATAATGGAACTGTTGTGCGTTGAGGAAAGGTACAAGCAGTAACTCATTGAGGATTCCTCCTCTGAACACCCTAAGCAGGGTACAAAATTCTTTTGGCAGACATCTGTATAAATTATGGGACGTTATTTTAATGGCACATGTTCTGGCTTAGATTTTAAGCCTAGATTCCCTCAAGAAGAAGACAAGCATCTTTTTTACTCCACCACCAATGCCAGCAAAGTTTGGGACTTGGTTACATACAATAACCGGTATTTGACCTTCTTTATGCCAGAAAATTGGCTCCCTGTTATCTGATTTACTTACCATGTTTATCAAAATTAAAGGTTGCCATTTATTTAATCTAAAGTTACGCTGTCTTCAGCTGACTTTCCAACTTGCTGCACACAAAGAATCACAGCACGACGTAAGGTGTGACTCAATTGACTGAGAACCCCTCTTCTCCAGACTTTGCATCATTTTGGGGAGGGGGCATCAAAACCCCACAAACACAGTTTAGAAGCCAACAAACCAAAGATGCCTAAAGTTAGCAAATACCTTGCAAATTAGTAGCTGGTTTTACTTTCTACAAAGCAAGAAGCTTATGCTCAGCTGTAACGTTCCTTCCTTCCCACACTGCAGAAGGTGTAACTTCTGGATTTGAGTTCCCCTCAAGTACAAACCAGCCACAGATGAAACAGTGTGAAAAGTTGTATTTCCACAGGGACTGCTTTTTTAGCAGTGACTAGAACTCGCACACGCCTTTTTGTAACTCAGATTAACTGACTGAGCACAGTATGTGCACTGAAGTCTTAATGGCTCAGTAAGTGAAAAAAGTGGCTTAAGCCACAGTTACATTCAATATTTGGATTTTATACTTTACCCAGGACAATTAAGAGCATATTTCACCATTAAGCAAGATGGAAAGCTACTTCCTTGTTCCAAAGCCTCTGAATTACCTTCTCAGTAAAAACAAGAATATTTAACAGACCAGAGTACAGAAATCTCGGGGGCTTGTTTTTTTTTCAGTTTCCTTAACTTGTGTCTGGCCAATCCACTTTCTTACGATTGTTAGTAGGAAAACAAAAAACAAATAATAAAACCTCAGATTCACACATCAAACCAGAAAGAATGAAGGATTCAAAAAACAGCAATAAAACCCATCAGGAGCTCACCGCTTCCAGTCTAAATTCTGGCACCTACAACTCCATTTCTTCTTCTGCACACCCGGAGATCCCCACACCAGCATACGGATCTGGAGACATGGCAGTCTGTTGGGATTCGGGGAATGGTTCAGTCTGTGGGTCAAAAGCAGCTTGGGATGTCGACTGCTTATCTTGACACCCTTCTGTGCTCTGCTGCTTGAAGTCCTTATCAGAAACAGACTTCAGTTTATCTGTGAGAAATTCAGGAAGAGGTTTCCAAAGCACCAGCTCCATAGAAGGACGGCTCCTAGAAGGGATGGAGTCTCAGTTAGATTGAAGTTCTCCAATCACTATTCAATGCAGAAGACCAGAAAGTACCTTCACCCTTTGTGCCAGTCTGGAACTGTATTCCAGAATCCACGTAGCTTATTCCTCCCCACCACCCCACCCACATTACATTTCCACTTCCTTAACCGTTCCATTACTCCTAATTATAACTGTATTTTCTTTCTTTTCTTTTGCACCAAACTTGATGACCACTGCTTCTTTTGGAAGCTCACATACATAAAAAGCAAGATAGAATTATAGAATTGTCTGGGTTGGAAGGGACCTTTAAGATCAGCGAGTCCAACCATCAACCTAACTCTGATAAAACCCATCACTAAACCATGTCTCTAAGCACTATGTCAACCTGGCTTTTGAAAACCTCCAGGGATGGTGCCTCAACTGGGCAGCCCATTCCAAGGCTTAATAACCCTTTCAGCATAAACATTTTTCCTAAAATCCAACCTGAACGCAACTTGAGGCCGTTTCCTCTTGTCCCATGGCCTGTTCCCTGGGAGAAGAGACCGACCCCCCCCCGGCTACACCCTCCTTTCAGGGAGTTGGAGAGAGCAATAAGGTCTCCCCTCAGCCTCCTTTTCTCCAGGCTCAACACCCCCAGCTCTCTCAGCCTCTCCTCATAAGACTTATTCTCCAGATCCCTCCATTGCCCTTCTCTGGACCCACTCCAGCCCCTCAATGTCTTTATTATGGTGAGGGGCCCAAAACTGGACACAGCCCTCGAGGTGGGGCCTCACCAGTGCCCAGTACTATAATGGTTTATTCAACAGCCTTCACTCTGTACAAATGAGGAGTACGGAACGACAGCTTGATGACCACTACAGTTACACCGAGTTCTTTTTTACATCAGGATAGTTTTTCCTGGTTTTGACCAGATGAACGGACCGTTATACAACACTGGCTACATCATGCAGGAATTAAGGACATCTCCACAAACATGAGACTGGGTCTCTCTTTTCATTTGCATGTGTTAGCTACATAGCACCATTATTTCCTCCAGGACTTACATAGATTCTATTATTTTCTTTGTCAGGACTTCACCAAAATCCCTCTTCATCCCTTTCTTAAGGGTATCTGACAGGATAAGAGTGGGCAGATTGCTAACATTTCCATCAGCATGAACTTCCTCATCTTCATCAATTATCCTAGGAAGGGAGGGGGAAGAGGGAGATAAAGACTATTGAGCATACTGTTAACAGGCACATCTACTGTAGACTACAGTTCTATCCACGTGCGCCGCGCTGCGTGGTGCAGGTATCTCTGACCCAGGCTGGGTACCAGAAGCAGCAGGGCCTCGTTAACACGAGTCTCTCGTGGGCCAACACAGCCTAAGAATGACTGTCACCTTAGAATCCACTTGAGCAGCGAAGCCACTTCTGGTACCTGAGCTCATACACTAAGAGAAAATAAAGAAATTCAGGGGAAAGTATAGGATTCAGTCACATTCCAAGAGCCAGCCTCAGTTATGCAGTAGCTTCACCGGCTCAATTCCCCATATCTTAACTTTGAGAATTATTTGAAAAGCTACCGAGTACAGTTCTGAACCTTTAAAGGACTTTGCACCAATTTCTCAGAGATTAAAATGGCATAAGAAGTTGAATTTCTTAAAGCAAACTGGAGGTATCTATCTCCTTTGGTTCTGGTAAACCTTTTACAGAAAATTTAGCAGAGTAGGTGGGAAGGATGGGGAACAATCCTCTGAGAGGTCCAAAGCAGACTTTGTAATGCAGATATAGCCAGATAAGGTCAAACAGCACTACTCTGATTTACCCGTGAAAAAATAAAATAATCTAACAGTACCTTGCTTCACTTCACGCACCATCTATGGAGTAACCATCTAAAAAAAAATCTTGTTTTATCATTTATACAACTTTTGGCTTTTCTAACTGCAGTGGTCATTTTAGATATTTCAGAATACCAGCTCAACTGCAACCAGCTGATACATACACACAACATTCCCAGAAACCTTTCAAAGGCAAGAATGCACAGTACATTTATTAAAAGGTTGCAACAGACTGCCCACAGCCACCCCGACACCCCAGTGTCACCCCATCTGGTATTTAACAGCAAGATGAACCTCAGTCTTACTGCGTACATGCAGACAGATTTCTCTGTTTCATACCAGTCTTTATGTTGGTAATTTCACATCTATCTTAAGCATTTACAAGTATTAATTGCAGAACAAGTTGAAAAAAGCTGAGCTCAAGACTGACCAGATAACAGCACTAAATATTTGAGCTCTGGAGCATAAAACCCCATTATGGTATATATACACTGATGCCGCATAAGGATTGTTAAAAGGTAAATATTTATTTAGCATCTCTAGCACCCTTAATTTCAGATCACAGTAACAGCCCCAAGACTCATAGGACCACGGGCCACCTAAAAATAAACTTATTGAACAGAAGGTTCATCTCAGCAGCATTATCGCACTGCTAAGTGCTAAATTTAACCCTTCATGCCCACCAAAAAAGCAAAAAGCTCAGCAAAGCCAGTCTACTCAATCCCTGCATTTACCTGTCCTCAATTTCCTGAAGCTTCCTGCGAGCAACCTCGCACTGCTGTTCCCCCATTGTCTCATCCATTTCTTCACAGGGCATTTCTAACATGGCAGTTTCAGGACGGCTGCCACCAAACTGACTTGCTACCTCCCCAGCTGCCTGCTGACCTGCACAGAGAATCCATTCTTCTGTGTTGGGATTCAAAGGGCTATTTTTGCCTCCTGTCAGTCTCTTCTTCCTCACAGGACCACTAGGAAGCAAAATAAAAGTTTACAATTGTCACAAGAGAAATGTGGCATTCTGCAGGAAAAAGCGTTATAGAAAGTCGTGTGCCTTTCAACAGATTTCCATACTGTGGAAACACAACCTCCACAAAGAAAAATAAATCCACATTGCTCTTATTAAAACATGGCTACCCAGGCAAGAAAAGCAGTGCTACACAATTAATTAGGTAACTGAAACGGATTTGGGCTTATGTGCAATTCAGGGGAAGACACAAATGGAAACAGTGTTAGAATTTCCTTTTCTTTGTATGTTGTAGGTGAGATGTGCTCAAATCTTGACAGAAAACAAGCAAATAGAAAGCTAAAAAAAAACCAGAAAGCAAATTAAGATTTTTCAGGCTATAAAAGACAAATTTAATTTACCCTTCTGCCTCTTCTTCTAACTTATGCTTCTTTCCACAGCGAACGGAGACACTGCAAAAGAAACACAAACGCTTATTTAGCTTCTAATGATATCTTCCAGTGGCACTGAGATTTTCAAATAATATTATCCTCCCTTTTAAAATTTCCCTTGCAGCCAAGAACAACAGTTGCAGCATGTCACCAGCTGTGAAGGGAGGGGAAGTTCCGGACAATAAATGACTACTTTTTTTCCGAAGAAAGTCAAAGAAGGCTGTAATTACTCAGTTCTCCAAGCAGAATTCCATGCTGATTTCTCCTCCTTTATGTTATTTTTTTTTTCCACATGGGGCAAGGCCAGTTTTTGCTAAAAATCAAACGTTTCCAGCAGCAACATGTGATCCAGCTTCAGTCTCTTAACACGGTGCATCACAGTGACACACTCAAACATGACCCAGCAACAACATTTGCGGGAGTAATTAAAGTTTTCTGCGCTCACATAGGAGAAAGAGCAAGCAAGTTAAAGCAAAAAACAAACTAGTATACGAACTTAAAAGCATGTCACGATGTTGGTAAACTTAATCACATTTATTTCCTAAGAAGGAAGCCTAAAAGAAGGCTCCTCCATCCCCCACCAAGACACTCGAAGGCCGCAGGATGAGTGCTATATGATTCTGACACCGCACGAGCGAAACGCTGCTAGAAGGCAACAAATTATAATGCGTCTCAAAAAGGAAAACTTATTCCACAGGTCCACCGCAGCCGACAGACCCGTCCCTTCCCTGTCCCAGCGGTAACTGGTGTGGCACTTACTGGCAGTGTCCCCGCTGCTGGGGCGGGCCTGGCGGCCGTGCCCCGCTGGTGAAGGAGCCCACCGGGGCCACCGTCAAGCCCTCGTTGTAACTTCCCAGCGCGGCCAGAGAGGCGACGTCGAAGCCGCTTTGCGGGTAGAGGCCGGAGGAGCCGCCGCCGCCATCGGCGCCGTCGTTCGGGTTCCCTGCCATGATCAGCACGGGGGGCTGCAGGCGGTCGTGGCCCAGCCCCGGGGGCTGCGGGCCGTGGCGGTCGGGGGCGGCGGCCGGCGCCTGAGGGAACTCCACGGCGGGACCCGCGGGGATGCCCTGACAGGATCTGCCCAGCGCTGCCATCTTCCTGCTGCCGGGGAGAAAGAGGACATCAACGCCGACCCTCTGTCCCCACCGCCGGCCCCCTCACGGGGAGGCCCGGGTCGGCGTCGGTTCCCGGCCCGAGGCCGCCCTCCCGGCCGCAGGCGCTCCCTCAGGAGAGCGCGGTGTCCGGCGCCGCGGCGGCGCAGGTGAGGCGGCCCGGCGCCACCACCGGGGCCTGTCCCGTCCCGGTCCCACAGCAGATAAACAGCCGCCCGCCCGCCGAGCACTCACCGCCGGGCCGGGCCGGGCCCGGAGCTGGACGACACCGCCAGAGCCCAGGTCCCTTCCAGGCCTTTCGCCGCGCTCGGAGAAGGCGGGCGCGGGCACTATGGGTGTTGTAGTCCCGGGCGGCGGCGGCGGCCCGCGGGGCGCGGCGGGAGCTGTAGTCCCGGGCGGGAAGCCGGAGCCGCCGTGGTGCCGGGGCGGCCATGGGGCAAGCGGGGACCCTCGGAGCTGGGCGGGACGGGACGGGGCTGTCCCCGCCGGGAGCGGGAGGCCTCGGCCCGCCCCGGTTGCTGAGGGGACTTGGAAACACAGGCGCTTTTGTCCGGGGCCTGGCGTAATCCCTAGGAGCGGCGGGGCCGGAGCGGGCCGTTCGCCCGGCGGCCAAATCCCAGTCAGCTGAAGGGGCTCTGCCCGCGGGGAGGCGGCGGGCTGAGGCGGCGGGAGGATGGAAACGCGGAGCAAGGTAACCCCTTCCCGGGCTCTTCGGGTGGGCAACGGGTCCCTTTTCTGAGAGGAATGAAGGGAGCCCGTGCGGTTTGTGCGGGGTTACCCGGGGGAGCTCCCCGGGGCCGTGAGGGAGTCGGACGTTTCTGTCATAAAACCCCTCGTGAACCGCTGAGAAGAATCCCGATGGCTAGAGGCGGCAGGCGAAACTGTGTCTTCGTGCAATAATAATTATTCCGTTTCTTTGGCACCTTTTATCCCCCGTAGCGTAGTTTACTAACTTTTGCACAGGAGCTCAGATTCAGCCCAGGGTAAGGATGGAGCAGCAGCCCCTGCTGAGAGGGTCTAGCGCGCCCAGCAAGGTAAGAGCCGGCCCAGGGGGAACCCTGCAGAGGGGTTTGTGGCTTTTACAGTGGTGCACGAGCGTGAAATTGTCTGATTGTGTTGCGTTTGCTTTTAAATTAGATGCTCTGGCTCGTAAAGTTGGTGTTTTCCTTAGACATCTGGCTGTGTTATAGTATGGAAGCTCCAAAAAGCATGTTTTCTGGTTCTTGTGTTTTACATTGAATGTAGATCGAATTTTGGGGCATGTTTCTGAAGTGAAAGTGTTTATAAACCACCAAGAGTGAAGCAGTTGACAGAGCCCTGGAACAGGCTGCCCAGGGAGGTTGTGGAGTCCACTTGGTGTTGATTACACCAAGTAATCAACGTAGGGACTTGCTGAGGGAAATAAAATATTGTTATTTCTCGCATCTCAGATGAAATGTGAGGCAGAGAAATTGGGATTTGGTTAATTCTTACACTGAGTCACTGTGCCTTTAACACCAAGCATGGTAATTCCTAACATTCTTTCATAAGAAAGAGGCACCGTGAGCAGCATGGTTCGTGCAAGAAGCATTTGCACAGCTCAGTAAATGTGCTGTCAGCGGTGCAGTGGTTGTGTTGCCTGCACTTCGTCTGGGTATTTGTAATTGTTGCATCTTTGAAATATGTTAGTGATCATGGCCAAAGTCAGTGTGAAATAAATTTCTCCTGTTGCAGGTGTTTGAGACTTTTTGTAGTTTTCTAAAGAAATACTTTTGCTGTTCAAAACTAAATACATTATAAATTTCATGGTGATTTTCTCCTAGATATTATATGCACGTGGGTTCAAGGCCCTATTTCTTTTCATGCCCGTTACTCTCTTCTGTTCTCTAGTTCCCCACCTGGACCTTGTTTCTTGCTGTTTGTGCCGTTGGAATCGGAGGGACCTTCCAGTATGGGTATAATGTCTCCATCATCAATGCTCCCACCCAGGTAAAATACTGTCTGTTGGTCACAGGGTTGTTTTACAGTATTGGAGGGGTCCTCTCTAACTGCCTGAGAGCCCAAATGCACTTTTACTGCAATCACAGCAGGAACCAAGGCAGAATTCCCCTCCTTTGAAGGATTCTTGTTGATTTGCCAAATGGTTTCATTTGAATTTGTGAGCACCTCCCATCAGAGTTATTCTGTGCCAGATAAAAGTGCCAAACACACAACATGAATATGTCTCTTAAAGTCCTTTTTAGGAGGATTAACTGAATTAATAAGTAATATCTTCTGGGTGCATTTTTGACTAAAATAGCCCATAACGTTAAGGATCGGATAGGATACAACAGAACGTTTTCATTGGGAAGGGACCCACAACGATCTAGTCCGACCACTCCAGGGCTTATTGAAAGTTAAAGCCTGCTATTAAGGGCATTGTCCAAATCCTCATTAGCACTGACAGGCGTTGGGCATCGACCGAGAACGTTTTCATTGGGAAGGGACCCACAACGATCTAGTCCGACCACTCCAGGGCTTATTGAAAGTTAAAGCCTGCTATTAAGGGCATTGTCCAAATCCTCATTAGCACTGACAGGCGTTGGGCATCGACCGCCTCTTTAGGAAGCCTGTTCCAGTGTTTGACCACTGTTTCTGTAAAATGTCACCACCATTTCTCCTCGTCTCACGTTTAAACCTCCCCTGTCACAGCTTTGAACCATTCCCATGGGTCCTATCACTGGATAACAGGGAGAAAGGATAGTTACGGTTGTCCATCGCAAGGCAACTTACTGAGAAAGATCTCCTTAGAGAGACAAAAAGTTGCATCTATGGTTTTTGGGTATCTTGTAGGTATTTTCACCCTCATGTTACTTCTGCATCCATTGTCCTGGCCTTGAGGATTCTCCATAGTTTGTGGATGACTTGAGGATCTGAGCCAATGGTCTTGTGAAAGTGATTGGTATCATTTTCTGCTCTCAGCTGATGTGTTTTCTTATGTAACTGTGAAGACTGAATTTTCTGGAACATTGTGTGCTTTTCACAAAAGTTAAAATAAGCTGTTTGTGGCAGAAGATGTAATATGCTGGAAACAGAGGGAGAGTCCAAGAAGTTTTTTCTTCTGTTAAGTCTTTGTTTGCTGGCTAAAAGCAGCAGCCTCTCATTACAGAGACATGTCAGTTCAAGAGTTTCTAAAGACAGATTTTAGGAAACCAAGCATGTGGAATAACAGTTTAGAAGTTCTGACTTGTGAATTCTGTAAGAAAGGCGGGGGAATATTAGAGTTGCAGAAATTTTACTGTGAATTATTGGATTACACTACTGCAGGAAGATTTAAACCCAAGTGTCAGAATGAATCTCTTGACAGTAAAATTTGTTAGGTTATATAAGACTTCTATGCTCTGAGATGTCCCTAGAAACGGTAGGATGTACCCATCCACCCTGTCTCCCTTCATTCAGAAGGACCTCAGAGCTCTTCTGTAGCAGTTTGTGGAAAGGTTGTGTTTCTCCTTCAGTGAAATGCAGCCTCTCCTGAGGGAGGGTGTGACAGCAAAGCTGCTCAGTGGCCTTTGAGATGTGTGGGGAGCAGGAGATGGTATTGTGGTCAAGGAAGATTCTGTTAGCCATAAGTATGTTTAATATAATACAACTAAGATGATACCTTTTGTTAGTTCCCAGAACTGGTTTGCAGGACTAAGGTGCAAGTTATTTATTAATGCTGCCCTGTAGGGCTACACGTAATGCTACATACTCATCCTTCTTTTCTACTGCAGCACATACACAGGTTCTTAAATGAAACCTGGACTAGTCGTTATCACAAGGAACTAAATCCAGATTTGCTGACTTTCCTTTGGTCTGTCATTGCTTCTATATTTTCACTTGGAGGCCTGTGTGGAGCCCTCATTGGAGGCAGCATGGCCATCCGGCTGGGCAGGTGAGTTCCAGCAGCAGGCACCCAGCAGCATGCTTGCCTTCCCTATTTTTTTTCCTTTCCTGTATTCTCCTCACTGAAATATAAAGCCAATAAATGGAAAAAGAGTGGGAGAAAATGTAACTTAGGTGATTATAAATGCTTTCCACTTCAAAGCAGAGTCTTCTAGTAGAATTTTACACTTTGTTCTGTTGTGACTTTAAAAGATGAGCCCTGAATTTTAGCCTCCCAGTCTAGTCTTGCCAGCAGATGTACTGAAATCTACATGGAGTGTGCACATGTGTGGTAGGAAACACAGCTACCCCCTACACATTTGCAGCCTTCATGCCAGTAATCTGTAACGTGCTGCATAATCTGTACTGCTTCATGCACATTCTCTATAGATACAGCATAAATGAACAACTCCCCACTCCTGCCTCGTCAGGCATTTCTGTCATATTTATGCATTATCCTTAAGTTTGGACTTCTTTTTTTTTTATTAAATATGAATAAATAGTTGTATCAGATACCTGGATTTCCAGTGAATAGCACGTTTTTTTTTATAAAAAGCCCATTTTTTTCCATATTACCAGAAAGGAAAAGTTTTTAAAAAACATATTATTGCAGATTTTCTTAATGGTTTGTTTGTTTGTTTATCTCCTTTTTAGGAAAGGAGCTCTTTTGATGAATAATGTCATAGCAATACTGGCCTCTGTTTTAATGGGGATCAGTTTTCCTACAGGCTTGTTTGAGTTACTGATTGCTGGAAGGTTTTTGATTGGCATAAATTCAGGTGAATTATTTCCTATTCCTACCTTCATTAAACTATGGTGAATGATAAAATGGTTGTTACTGCTGATTCTTGAGCTATTATTTTCCTGCTACGTTGTAGATATGATGACAAAAATGTTCATAGTCTAGCTTGGAATATGAAGGCAGCTAAATGAATAGAGAAATTAACTAGTTCTGGTTGATTTCCTACATGTTTTGGTTCAGTAACTCTTTTGAAAGCAAAATCTATTAATAGGAAGATGTTTTTCCCTTCACTTGCAGGTGTTGGGCTCTGTGTGCAGCCTCTGTATATTGGGGAGGTTGCCCCAAAACATCTGAGAGGTGGCATGGCCATGGGGAGCTCCATCTTTCTGACTGGAGGGATTCTGACGGGACAAATAATCGGCTTGAGGTTTGACTCCTCTTTCTTTCTGCCAACACAGCAGTAAAGTAGGATTGCTCATCTCTTCCTGAGTGAAACCTGGTTTCAGAGTGGCTGGAAAATAGTTTCCCAGCCTCTTTCTGCTGAGGTTCACAAGACGTAGGAAACTGGTTACAAGGGAACTTTCCTCAAGGGACAAACATCTTGCTCCCAAACATCTTCTGAATAGTCACCAATAGCTAACTGCTTGTTATTTTTCCCTTCTTTTTCCACACTTCTCCCAGGGAATTACTAGGTGGAGAAGCACATTGGCCTCTGTTGTTGTCCAGCAGCTGTTTCCCAGCATTTGCCCAACTTTTATTCCTGCCGTGGTTTCCTGAAAGCCCCAGATACCTTCTTATAGACAGAGGTGATGAGCTGAGCTGTGCCAAAGGTAACTGACAGCATTTATACTCTCTCTGTGCCTTCAGAAAGGTACAAAGAGCACACTGGCTTCCAGATTCTCCTTTTTTCTTTATCAGTAACTACACACATAGAAAGAAATAGAAAGCACAGTAACTACAAGGGACCTACCCAGTCAATTCTGTCTCGTTTGGAAGCCACGGACAAGATGCCCATAATGTCCCTTTTGGATTATGATCTAGTTTGGGCTTCATTAAATGGAAGTTTTTAAAATGTAAGCAAACCTTGCAATCTCCAGATCATATTCAAGTCTTTCCCCCCGCTTTTTAAAATTTATTTCTTTTTGAATAACATAATAATGGATTGGGTTTTTTCCCAAGAACTGTGCTTGCTCCTGAGCTGGTACTGAAAGGTGGCGAGAGCTTCAGGCTGGTTATGCTGTCAGTGATATCAATTGCATTGGAAAGTTCGTTTTCAGCATCATCAGAAGTTCTACTGTTGCCCTTAAGTAGGCAAATTTTCACTTATGATACATTTAATCTTGAACATTTTAGAGGAATTGCTGTTACATACTTTTAGGTAAAGATTTTAGTCTTGCATCTGACTGACTTCTGATAATAATTGCCTTAGAAGAATTTCTTACAATCTTTACTCCAGTTTACTAAATGTTTTCCACTGGCAAAATTAAAGACAGGGACATAACAAAAGACTTTATATCTGTGTAGGAGTTAAGACTTCAAACTGGTTGGAATGTCCTTTAATGGAAAGACTGTTTGGAGGTCTGTGGTTCGGGCATAAACCACTTCAAAATATTTTGCTTGGTGATTATTTCAAAGTCAGGTATTCCTTTAAAAAAAAAAAGAAAAGCAAAGTAATGCCACTGAAATCTCCAAACCCACCACAGCAAAAAATGTTGGAAAATCAGCAAGCAAAAGACAAGTCACAAAGCAAATGACCTTTTTCCCAGCTTCCTAAAGCAGAAAGTTTTCACACCCTAGCTAAAGGCAGCTCGTGATGGACAGAGATGGTTTTCCAGAAGTTGTGGGGAATAGGTAAACATAAGCGAATTTATTTTCTTTTTTTTTTCTAGCATTGAAGCGGTTTCATGGGTCTTCAGATTATCGAAGGGAGATGGAGGACATACAGCGGGAATGTGTTGCTTTAGATGGGGAGAAACCCAAGAAGCCCTGGCAATTATTCACCGATCGTGGTGTGAGGTGGCAGCTCATCACTGTGATTGTGATGACCATGGGCCAACAGCTCAGTGGGATAAATGCTGTAAGATTTCATACACCCAAACAGCTTAAGGAGTTATTTAATTTCCATTTGGTTTTCCACCTTTTATTAACGTGAAGGATTCATGTAGGGAAACTCAGAGAAATGGGATAAGGGGGGAAGAATATCTTTGTATTATTTTTGTGTTTCTCTTTTTTTATTTATGTATTTCTACTATGTAAATTTCTTTAAAGAATGACAATGCTTATGTTTACATCTTCTGAAAAAGTAAAGGTGGATCAGCTTATCCTGTTGCGTCTGGTTTAAGAACGTGAAGTATTATATTCAGTGAGTTGAATAATTATATTTGCTATTATGATAGCAGAATATTTACCTAGACATGAATTTAACGGATTCTTCTTGCTGTTTACATCACATTAATAGCTCCCAATATAAAATAAGTTGAGCTGTATGTTTAGTATGAACTTCACTTTGTTTCCAGCTGACAATTTAACTCTTTGGAACACCTAATTTTTTATTTTTTTTTCTGTTTTAGATTTATTTCTATGCAACTTATATTTTTAAAGAAGCTGGCATCTCAGCAGGAAAAATCCCATATGTGACACTGGGCACCGGAGCTTGTGAATGTCTCACAGCCCTCACCTGTGTAAGCAACAATTTATTCCACCTCCTGGCATAGAGACTAATGATTCTTCTTGAGGGGGAATATTGGTAAATATGGGATCAATAGAGTAACAGAAAATTATGTCTTGTCTCCAGGGTTTGCTGATAGACTACGTGGGAAGAAGATACCTCATCATTGGGGGTTATCTCCTTATGAGCCTTTGGAGCACTGTTTTAACCTTCTCTCTGACTTACCAGGTGTAAAGAAGGATTCGTTTATGTTACAAGATATGACTGTAGTGAGGGAAAATCTGTGACGCTCAAAAGAAGGAGGAAGAGAAGGGCTGTGTAGGTTTGAACAGCAGCGTAAAATTCACAGCAGTTGAAAGATTTGATCAATTCTGCAGCTCTGCTTCCCTGAAATAAGAGAATGCTCTCAGCCAAGATTTGATCATGTATTTTTCTTACATCTGCAGCTCTGTTTGATGCTGCCAAAACTAAGTGATGACAAAACAGCATTTATTCTAGCTTCTCCTATAATTTTAGGACGAAATACTACATAGTGATGATGTTAAACATAAGGCTCCGCTTCAGTCACTAATAAATCTTGACAGAAGTACTGGATTCCATTGAGCAACAATTATTAAATGAAGAATATTTGATTTCTCTGAAGCTGTACTGTCAAATAGATCAGCTGTAAAGAGCCACGAGTGGCTGTTGGTCTGTTGCAATGCAATAGTGAAAGGAAATGCAGCCGTTGAGGCAAACTGTGGATTCTCCAGACGTGAACTAAGGCTGGTTCCCTCTGTGGCAGGAGCTGTACCCGTGGGTGCCCTACCTCAGCATGGCTTCTATATTTGCCTTCATCCTGAGCTTCGGGCTGGGACCAGGTACTGCCCAATGGGGGGATGTGGGGGTCCTGGGGGGAGCATGTATCCCAGCAACTCACTATTTCTGGCATTGGAAATAACCACAAGTGGCCATTTAGCGTAATGACCTCTTCTCTTTCTGAAACTCCTCCCCAGGAGGCATCACAAATACCCTGACAGCGGAACTGTTCATACAGTCCTCCCGTCCTGCCGCCTACATGATAGCAGGGACTGTAAGTTGGATCAGTTTCTTCACCATTGGAATGCTCTTTCCCTTCATAGTGGTAAGTAGGGAAAACACCTTTTCCTAATTGCCACACCTCCCAGGTAACCTTCTCTCGGGTTCCATCAGGTTGCTTTTTCTTATACAGTAACCCTTCATAAAGATGCACACTACCCCTCAATATAACTCCACCTAATAACTAAGTTCTGTCCCTCTTAAAATATTTTTTAGATATTTAGGAAAAATAATCAAACATGATAAATCAATTATCTTAAAATATGAACCATCTAACCACCAAATACTGCCTTGTCATCTTGTCCTTACATTATAAATTCGTTAGTGTGTGTTTAAATGGTTTTATCTTTCTTTTTTTTTTCTTTTTTAATAGAGACTTTTAAAATAAAAAGACTACCAGAGCACTTGGTAGTGTTTTATCTAAAAAAAGTTACATGTAAAGTAAGGACAGGCTGAACATCTTTTTATTAAAAACATCTGAGTGGCAACGTTAGGTGTGAATGGGAACAAAAAGCTTTTTATTTTCCCAATCCCACTGTTACACTCGAAATATGTTGCAACCCAAGAACCTTTCCTTTCAGAACGGGCTGAAGCAGTATTGCTTCCTGGTCTTCTTACTGGAGTGCTCCTTAGTGGCTGCTTTCATCTTCCTCGTCATTCCTGAGACAAAAAACAAATCTTTTCTGGAAATCAAAAAGGAATTTGACAAGCTTAATTTTGGAAGAAATAGTAAAAAAAAGGAAGCCGAGCTTTATGAAAGAAAACAACTCCACGATGAATTTGAAAAAAATTCTGTGTAATTTCACAGCTGTAACAAAACTTTAATGAGAATTATATACAGTGTCTTCTAAATGAGCAGTGTAATACCATCAACAAGTAGCTTATTAAATCCTCCGATGTATTTAGAGGAGGTTTAATTAAAAGCAAGTTAATCTTTCTGAAATACTGTCAAAACATCTATTGTTGAACTGCTACTAACAACACTATATTTTACGTAGAAGCTGGATGTTTAGATACAGGTTGGTGTTGGAGGAACACAAATGCCAGGAGAGGGTGTGCGGTGAATTCCTCCTCCCGCAGATTTAGTCAGATAATTCAATAGCTCTTCTTGTATTTCTAAGAGACAGTACAGCACCTTCCTGAGTTACTGTTGTTTGTAATACAGTTTGTTAGAAAGACTCGTTTCCTGAAAGAGTACTAATAAAACACTTCCTGGGCTTTGAGTTTGGGTTTATTTGTTTGCCCTGACATGTCATCTCAACATTTTAAACTGTGCAACAGGGTAAAACCTCCTCTAGTTTCAAAAGGTCAGTTCCTGGCAGACCAAGTTCAACATCCCAACAAGCACCAAGCAGCAGAGAGCACAGATGATTGGAATTAAATATATTTTATTTACCTTTAAAGATTTTTCCAGCTGGCCTGACCGAATGCGCACAGGGAGACCACAGAGAGCTTGAATGAGCTTTCTGCTTATCTCCAACATTTTGTCCAGGGCTCTTTCTCAATTTCAGATAAATTATTCATATTTTAGTAGTCCAAAAGTAAGAAATCATAATTACATATGGTGGTTTTGTGCCTCTCTGATACTCGTTTTGATGCCTGTAACTGCAGGGACAGTCCTACCTTACCCAGTACAGCTCTTCCTGGTTGGAAGCAATTCCTGGTTCCATCTGGTACTCAATAAGTGCTCCAGTAACCACTGGATTTGTTTTACGTTCATCTTCCTTCTCTCAGAATTAAAGCTTTTAATGAAAAGGCAGGAAGCAAACACCATTCTTCTGATTTTGGTAACTAAATCAGTTGTTTAATTGAAAACACCATTAACTCTTAACGGGAAAGGAGGCAGTATCAGGAAGGGATCTTCTTGTTCTTCAGTTTATCTTCTAAGTTTGCAAAATATTTCATTTTGGCTAGAAGCTTCTTCGCTTCTTGAAGATCATCTGAAATGAAATAAGACGTTACTGGTTTACAGAGGGAGGGCTGAATTTCCATTTTCAAAATGAACCTCAGCACCAGTTTCAGTGCCAAGATCTGGACGCTGTAAGGAGCCCTACACCACTAAAACCACCTTGTCTGTTACTTCCATCTCGGATGGTTCTGGAACACCTCAACTGAGGTGTTCCATAAAACATGTAAAAATGTGCAAGTTAGAAAAGAAATGTGACATGAATACCCTTTAAGGACATTTCTGTAGGGAAATTGGGGGAAAAATGGGGAAATTTCAAGTGTGACACTCAGAATAGGTGGTGTATTTGATTAAGAAAAGTGTCTGTCCTTCCCAGTATTCTGGGAAACAAAAAAAGTCTGCATTCCCACTTGAAGTGATCGTTTTGATGCAAACTGAATTAACTGGGACTTTTGTATTGTGGTTTTGGTATTTTTTTTTCTTAATTTAATGTGAGGTCCTGAATGTCCTGAATCAGCAGAAAGGCCAGCTTAGAAGTATTTAGTCTAAGTCCCAAACAAAGAACACTTGTTGATGCAGTGTTTCTGCTCTGTAGTTCAGGAAATATTTGCCAATAGGAGAATGTTGTATTTTCAAGCATTTATAACTGGTATCTATGGCAGCTGAGTACTTAATAGAAATAGCTACCTCTTTCAAAAGCTGCAGTCACCTCTTTGGTCAGTTCTTCTTGTTTAACTGTAAGACAAATTATTGCATTCACATTTTGTTAGACACTTAGTATATTTAATATCACTGCATTTTCATTGTCTGTGGTGGGAAACTTAATTACTACTCTCATAGTCTTTTGGGAGCTTAAAGAGCTTTCCCTAATATTGCTGTAATTTATTTTTTTTTTATATTATGATTCCAAACAGATATATTTCTTTGTTTAAACAGGTTTACAGACAGCAATTCCAATGCAAATCAATGGTCAGTAACTTCCCACAGATCTAATTTACTGTTGGTGGATCAGTTTACCCTGCTACAGTTAATTTTATTCTACTTAGTTTTTATTCTAGTTATTCTAATTGCTTTTGACACACTACTGTTAATTGCGAAGAATTAAATATACCAATAAACTCAACGTTTTGGGTGTCACCAACAATATAAACGAGGAAGTTGAATGTATAAGGATAATAACCACTGAACATAATGGTTGCTAAGGTGAAAGAAAAGCAGCATCTGTATAAATTAAGAAATTATCATGTGCTAAAGGCTGAATAAGAAATTCCTTTTTATAGCCAATATTTATCCAATTTTACCATCAGACAGATTTTCTCAAGCCAGTTTTGACGTTTAGGTGGCATAAATTGGTAAAGACAAGATTGTTTTTTGGGGGGAAGCTCTTGCAGGGAGTCAATTCAAGATTGATGCAAAGCAAAGACACTAAAAGAAATGCACTGCCAAAGCCTTCAGAGATAGACCCGTGTTATACAAGATACAGTACATGAATTCTGTACAAACCCCTCAAATCGTAACCTACCTTTAATTAACGTTTCGATTTCTTCAAGGCTATCTGCATTTTTAGGCTCAGCTAATTTCTCATTAATTTCCATGATTTCCATGAGAAAGGCCGAGTCTGCGTCAGAGTCTGTCTCTTGTGCCGGCTCCACTCCCTTCAGCTCCAGCTGGTGAAGGGAAGAGGAATTTGGAAATACACATTCTCTCATCCATTTTAACGTGAATTATTTTCTTGGATATTAGGTTCTTTTAGTAGGACTCGCTCAGGTTAAAAATCAGCAGTTAAGCAAAGCAAAGCAAGGTGAGGAAGGCTGCCAAGGGCCAGAGTGACATTTCAAAGGAGCAGCTGAGGCCAAACACAACGTGTGACGCAGGAAACAAATTAGTCTAATGTGAGCAGCAAATGAAATGGTAATTAATTGGTAAAACGTTAAAGAAAATAGCGGAAAAGCTGGTTAGTTTTCAGACAAGCTTGTTTCCTGTCTCCCTTCAATCCCTGGTAAACCTCCTCCTTGGAGGAACAGAAATTAGTGTGTTAATGATGGAGTTAAAAGGTTGATTCATTACATTATGGGAACATTGATAAAATCCATAAGGGACACCTTACTAGGTAGAGGCCGCGGCTCAGGGGGTTCAGGAGGGTTTGGTAGGCCTTGTTGATGAGGGAGGAGTGTTGCTGGGAGTAGCACTGTTCTTCCTGCCGGGGGAGGACAAATAATAGTAACAAGTTTAATAACAAGTGGCAAAAATGCCTTACACTTTGTTGCCTGGAGAGAAATAGTGTTCTCACAACAATACATGTGTGTAAAACCCAAAGCTGACTTTTAACAGAGATAAGGAGAGCGAGGAGAGGGGCCGTCAGGAGGTGTAAGCCGTGCAGCCCACGCAAGGAGGATCTCAAGAACCATGGAATTGTTGGAGTTGGAAAGGACCTTCCAGAGACCATCCAGTCCCACCCCCTGCCAAAGCAGGGCTGCCCAGAGCACATCACTCAGGAGCGTCCATTGGGGCTTGAAGATCTCCAGAGAAGGGGACTCCACACCCTCCCTGGGCAGCCTCTGCCAGGGCTCTGTCACCCTCACCCCAAACAAGTTCTGCCTCAGATTGGAGTGGGACTTCCCATGGTCCAGCTTGTGCCCGTTGCCCCTTGTCCTGTCACTGGGAACCACTGAAGAGTCCGGCTCCTTCCTCCCTCAAACTGCCCTTTAGATATTTATAAGCATTACTAAGGTCTCCCCTCAGCCTTCTCCAGGCTGAAGAGCCCCAGCTCCCTCAGCCTTTCGAGAGCCTGAGCCACAGCAGCCCCTTCACGCCCCCCGAGGGCACCAGGACACAGCAACCAGAAGGATCCCGCGATCCCGGGGCAGGAGGGCGGCGGGGACCCCTCCGGGGACGGCCCAGCCCAGGACGAAAGGCGGCCTCTCCCCTCGGGCAGCCCCGCCGCCGCCGGGCCTCGGCTGGACGGGACGGGACGGCGGGGCCTGTCCACCCGGCCCGGGACCCCGCGCTCACCAGCGGCCTCTGCCCGAAGCGGTCGGGGTGAACGGCGCGCTGCAGGCTCCGGAACCGCCGCTGCAGCCGCTGCGCGTCGATGCGGAAGGAGCGGTCACTGCGGGCGACAGAAGGCGGCGTGAGGCCCGGGGGCGGCAGGACCCGCCGCCGCCCCGCCGCCACTCACCAGTCCATCAGGCGGAAGAGGTCAGGCCGCGCCGCCGGCGGCTGCAGTGCCTGGCAGCTGGGGCAGAAGCGAGGCGGCCCCTCCGCGCCGGCCAGGGGGCTGCCGCAGCTC